TTATTATGTTGATTTATTTCAGTTTTTGGTTTTGCCCAAAAAGCGTTTGCATAATTTTAAATTATATTTTCCATTTAGTTTGGTACTATTTTTCTAACAATATAAATAAGTATACTTTTTTATTTTTTTATAAAAAAATGTGTAAAAAAGTAGAAAAATAATGTGACACAAATAAATATACTAATGTACTTATCTAAATAAATATACTTATTTAAGATATGTCAAAAAAAAATCACAGTTAAGAAAAAAAAAACGATATGTATCAATATTTAAAATAATAAAATTGACACTAAAAAATTCAGCCTAAATACTGAGCATGTAGTTGGGGGGTAATGGGTTGATTGGAGTTGCGCCTTTGTGGCAGCGGCGAGCGGAGACGCTATTGATGGGGGTTGTTGAAGCATATTTGTTGTTGTTGGGCGCCGCCGCAACAACTATTCAGGTGGGATTGATGATGATGAAGAAACAAAAATAGACAAATTGAAAGCAGATTTTCTCAAAAAAAAAATAAAAAAATAAAAAAAATTAACTTTTATAATAAAACAAAATTTAAGATTTTAATTTTATTAATTCAAATTTTAAACTTTTAATTTGTTTTTAATTTAAATTATTTATCTATTTTCATTAAGTAAAATAGAAATAAAAATAATAATTTTTTTCAAACATTATGATTTTACTTAACAAAAAGAGGCTAATGATTAAATTGAAAACAAATCAATAGATTAAGGTTTAAATTGATAAAATTAAAAATTTAAAATTTCTATTATTATAAGAGTCAAACATTAGGATTTTTTTTTTTTTTTGTAATTTCTCCATTAATTTATGAGTAATGTTGCTCTAACCTAAAAGTTAGATTTATTTTTTAAATCTAATGATGTAATAATTTATTACAATATCTAAAAGAATTCTTTTTCTCATACCTTCTCTAATCATTAACCAATTATCTTTTACACATCAGTGGGTCCTAAAATGAGTCTAGAAAATAGAATTCTATATTATTTTTCTTCTATTTTTATGAGTAATTAGTAGAATACTGGTAATTTTATTTTATTTTTTTGTTCTCTGAATGTCTCTCACTAGTTTTATTTTTTCAGCAATGCTAAAGGTAAAATAAAAAAGTTATAATTATCAGATTAATCTAATTTTTTTTATGAGTGATATATACAGAGAGCTCTAAACGATTTGAATTATTAAAATGAAACTTGTAATGAGCCCGGCATGCCCCTCAAATTATCTCAAATTAAAATATGAATTTGTGAGAAATTCAATTGTAAAATAATCTCATAATTTTATAAAAATCACTTTATTGACTCTCTATTTCATTAGTATTTTCAAATGTTAGCTAGTTAATAACATCTATAATTTATATTAATACAACGGATACGAGTCATTTAGTCTTCCTTTTTTTTTTTTTTTAAAGTTTCAACATCAAATGGAATATATATTGTTATTTACTAGATTATATCAACTAATAAAATTACTTAAAATAGTGGCTTAATCGATTATACACTAAGGGCATGTTTGATTGGGTAGATTAGAGCATGAGATTAGGATTATTAATCCGTGGGCCTAATTATCCTATGTTTGTTTTAACATTTTGGTTTAGAATTATTAATCCAATGGATAATTAATCCAACAAATTTGTAGGATTATTAGTAATGGGGTAGGGGTGGGATTATTAATCCAATGGATATTAATCCAATTGGATAGTGAATACCACACTAATTTAATAAAATTATTAATACTTCACTATTAATTTTGTGAATCAAACATGACCTAAAGTCTAACTAATAGTTCAAAACTGTAAAGAAACGATGAACCAAAAGAAGACAGGCACAAAAAAAAAAAAAATGTTATATTTATTTATTTTTCTTTTCATTAAATACTTGGGAGATTGACCAATAAGTCTCATATTTTAGACTTATAATCCATATAGTTCTATATTTTTTCTTGTGATCCATTTAGTCCTTTTTTTTTGTGTGTAATGACTCATTTACCCACATTAGAATGTCACATTTGAAAAAAATATACTAAGAAATTTTTTAGTGTTATATCATACCCGCTACGTTGACGTGTCACATTTGGAAAAAACACACCAAAGAGTTTTTAATTTTTTTGCAGTGTCATATTAGACCCGCCACGTTAGAGTGTCACATGTCATATGTCACGTTTAAAAAAGTACACTAATAAATTTGTACTTTTTCTTGGAGTGTTGCATTATACCCGCCACGTTGTCACATTTGAAAAAAGTACACTAACGGATTTTTTATTTTTTTGGAGTATCACATTATACCCGCTATGTTGTCACATTTGAAAAAAATACACTAAGAAATTTTTATTTTATTTTTTTGAGTAAAAGATTTAGGTTGCGTTTGGTTGTATTTTGTAAATGTAATTTGAGAGTATGAATTGTATTTTGAGTTTGTGTGTTGTAGAATTATGATTTGAGTGTAGAAAATTTGTTTGGTAAAGAGTTTTGAAAATAGTTTTGGAAAAGAGGTTTGATTTGAGTGGGAAATTGTTGATGTGATATTTGATATGTGATACAAAAATTTACAACTCATAACTAAATATACAAATTAAAATTATTTTAAAGCACATTAAAAATTAAAAAAATTTCAGAAATTTTTTTTTCCAATTATATAAATCAATTGCAAAAAAAAAATCCTGTACAGCAGAGGACATCCGGGTGGATGTCTCGAAGGACGTCCGGGCGGTAGTCCCTAAGGACGTCCGGGTGGTCTTCCCTTGGCCAAAATTTTCACAAAAAATACAGCTGTAATAGAGAGCTCTCTACAGAGGTTTAGAAAGTTGATTCCAAACACAAAACCAAACATCATACTAAAATACACCTGTGAAATTACATTTTGAATTCACAACCAAACAGAGCCTTAGAGTGTCACATTATATCCGTCACGTTGTCACATTTGAGAAAAGTATATTAAGTTTTTTCTATTTTAAAATACTTGTTTGTGAAATGAAACTTATTGGTAAATATCCCTGTTTTTCGGTATTTATATAAAAATTAGCCTTAATTAGTAATATACTAAAACAAAAACAAATTTTATATACGCATCCCTTCGCCCCTATTTATTTTATATACGCATCCCTCAATTTGGTTTACTTTTTTAAAACTGTTTTTCAATTTATTGTTTCTTTTTTTTTTTTTTGTATTTTTTTTTGTCTTTAATAAAATTTATCAGATTTTAATTAATTTTTTTTTTAAATGAAGCCAATCTGGATGTACTAAAAAGAAGGTAATTGCGATTTTTTTATTTATTTTAAATTACTACATACAAATATTTTACTTTAATGAATATAGAAACAAGATTAAGTGAATATAAAAAGCAAAAAAAAAAAAGAGAGATTAAAATAATAATAAAAATAATTAAAAATGCACAAATTAATGCAATAATCCTAGTCTTTCATTGTGGCCAGTTATTTATTGTCAAAACACTAGAATATGTAGGAATCCTATCCGTAATAGGAGGGAGGAAAATATTTTGCTCAAAAATTTGAATGGTATGGGTTGATGACTTCAGCAACTCAACCAACTAATCTAATCTCATATATTTCCATTAGTAGCTTATCATCATTAAGAGGTGTTTGGGGTGCATTATAAAAGTGTATTTTTTATTTTTTTAAATTATATTATTTTTATTTTTTGTATATTTTTTTATAAAAATTCAAAAAATATATTTATTTAGATAATTCCAAACAATCCCTAACTTTGAACTCAATCTCTTACCCTAACTCAAATCAGCATTAGTGTGTTTGGTTTGAGTTTTTTGAATTAAGTTTTTTAAAAATTGAGTTTTTTGATTTCGTGTATTTTTCTTTTTAGTGAATATTTTTTAAATTTTAAACATTTTTTTTTACTTTTTTTATATGCACCTTAGATGTATCTAAAAAGTAAAAAATTTGTTAAAAAATATTTTTAAAAATTAATAAATACATAAAAATATAAAAAATGTAATGAATTCTCTCTTTTTTTTTTGTATATTTGATATTTAGTGAATTTTTAAAAGGTTTTTTTTAATTTTTTTTTTACTTTTTAGGTATATGTATGTTAGGTATGTTTAAAAATTAAAAAATTGCTCAAAATATAAAAAAATTCAGTAAAAATAAAAAAACACAGAAAATAAAAAATTAAAATTTTCTAAAAAATGTTTTTAAAAAATAATAACCAAACATTATTTCAGAAAAAAATTATACTCAATTTAGTGATCTGATAATTAATTAGGATATTAAAAATAATATTTTCTTTCATATCTTTTCTATCAATAAATTATATCACTTATATATCGTTTAATTTATAAATATAAAAATAAATTTATATATTATTTTCCCATTCGAATAGCAAATCATTTTCTCTTTCTACATTTTCTTTTCAATTTCCTAAATAAAACCACGAATATATTTTCAAACTCTAAAATCAAAACCCACCTCTATATATATATATATGGACAGCAGTGCTAGAGATAACTTAGTAGAGTTGTTATAAAAGCAGCTTTATTGAGGTGACATCTTATTTCTTAAAAGGTTTCATTAAGAACACTCTTACCATTTAGACAATATACATATTATTGCATTAATTTCTTTATTATTTGTTTTTATGCTTATTTATCTGAATTGCACATGCATCGCATGTGCCACACCACTAGTATATATATATATGTACACAGTGCTAGAGAGAACTAGTAGAGTTGTTCTAAAAAGCAACTTTATTGAGGTGACATCTTATTTTTTTTAAAAATAATTAAAAAATAAGTAGAAGACAAAATAAGAAGAAGACGAAAATAAATTAATGATTATTTAGAACTCATCTTTAGAGGTATAAACCATTTTTTGAGATATGTGAATCCGTGGGAACATCCGTACACACAGTAAATATATCTGATCAAAAAATTCATTGCGACCAGTTGGTAGATAAAACTCATTCACTCCCCCACTCTATCATCTATTTATAGATAACCCTTTTCACTTCATTGCACTACAAATCTCCCTCTCTCTCTCTCTCTCTCTCTCTCTCTAATGGAGTTGCTTGACCTAGTTTTCTTCTCTTTAGCATCTCTCTTTCTCTGTTTATGGTGGCGACACTGGTCGGCCACCGGTGGGGGAGCCAATAATCTGCCACCGGGGCCACCAGGGTGGCCCCTGGTGGGAAACTTGGGTCAAGTAGTCCTCCAACGCCGGCCATTCATATTCGTAGTACGCGATTTACGAGCTAAGTATGGTCCAATTTTCACAATGCAAATGGGTCAAAGAACCCTAATCATCATAACAAGCTCTGAGCTCATCCATGAAGCCCTGGTTCAAAAGGGCCCACTCTTCGCGAGCCGGCCACGGGACTCTCCGATCCGCCTAGTGTTCAGTGTCGGCAAGTGTGCTATCAATTCAGCCGAATACGGCCCGCTCTGGCGTGCTCTACGCCGGAACTTCGTCACCGAGTTGATAAACCCTAATAGAATCCGACAATGCAGTTGGATTCGTAAGTGGGCGATCGAAACCCATTTGAACAGACTCCGTGTTGAGGCTTCAAACAAGGGTTTCGTGGAGGTCATGAGTAATTGTAGGCTCACTACATGTAGCATTTTGATCTGTCTTTGTTTCGGAGCAAAGATCTCCGAAGACAGAATAAAAACCATCGAAAGCATACTTAAAGAGGTAATGCTAATCACGCTTCCGAAGGTCCCGGACTTCTTGCCGGTGCTTCTGCCGCTGTTTCGCCGCCAGTTTAAACAAGCTAAGGTTCTGAGGAAGAAACAAATGGAATGTTTGGTTCCTTTATTAAGAGACAGAAAAGCATTCGTCGAGAGTGGTGGAAACCAAAGCTCCACCTCGTCGGAGATGGCGAGCCCTATCGGAGCGGCTTATATCGATTCGTTGTTTGAACTCGAACCGCCTACTCGGGGAAAATTGGGTGAAGAAGAACTCGTCACGCTTGTCTCAGAAATCATCAATGCCGGAACTGATACGAGCGCGACGACAGTGGAATGGGCTTTGCTTCATTTAGTAATGAATCAAGAAATGCAAGAAAAGTTATACAGAGAAATAGTTGAATGTGTGGGGAAAAATGGTATTGTTAGTGAAGAAGATGTGGAGAAAATGGCTTTTTTGGGAGCGGTGGTGAAGGAGACTTTCCGGCGACACCCTCCGAGCCATTTCGTGTTATCGCACGCCGCGATTAAGGAGACGGAGCTAGGAGGGTACACGATTCCGGCGGACGCCAACGTCGAGTTTTACACGGCGTGGGTGACGGAGGATCCGGATTTGTGGGAGGACCCGGGTGAGTTCCGGCCTGAGCGGTTTTTGAGCGGCGGCGACGGAGTTGACGTCGACGTGACCGGGACACGTGGAGTGAAGATGGTGCCGTTCGGAGCCGGGAGGCGGATTTGCCCGGCGGCGAGCCTTGGAACGTTGCATGTCAACTTGTTGCTTGCTAGGATGGTTCACGCATTTAAGTGGGTTGCGGTTCCGGGTCACCCGCCCGACCCGACTGAGACTTTTGCTTTCACTGTTGTGATGAAGAACCCTCTCAAAGCTGTTATTTTGCCTAGGTGAAGAAAATTGAAGCTTGTGCTAGTAGTAGTACTATTGTCATACCTATTTTCACAGCTTGGTTGACCATATTATATAAGGAAACTAGTAGTAGTACTATTGTCATACCTATTTTCACAGCTTGGTTGACCATATTATATAAGGAAAATTACATTAAATTAACAAAAATGTTTTGGAACTCCAATTTTGAAAGACCCCAGTGATGTGACAGCATGTGATTGGTTGAATTTTTTTTTTTTTTTTTACTTTCCCTTGGTCCACAGCCCCCTACGTAGAGGTGGAGGTGCCAGGGTGACTCCGTACTGAGAGTGCCAATCACTGCTCTTAAATTAAACCCTTGTTATTTTTCACTTTACTCTTATGTTTAAAACCCGACGGGTCAATCCTTAGGATCATATAATTAATGCAGCCATGACCTATTCTCTCTTTTAAATTTTTATGTAGCAAATGCTTTGTTTTTCAATTATATTAAAAACATTATTTCACATTTTGTATCTTAGTTAATATGTTTGTTAGAATACTATTTTTTTTTTAATAATAAATTTTGTTTTTAATTGTGCTTTAGTATGAGTGAGCTGAATCGGGTAAGTCCAAAACTTCCATATTTGATATGGGAATTATGAGAGATCCACAAAGCATTTGGATCCCTTTCATGAATATGAATCCTTTCTAGTTTTTCAGAATGAACATATTTTATGATCAGTAGCGGAGAAAAATCAATGTCATCAAAGGATTGTTATGTATTGGTCCTGTTTGATAGAGCTGTGGGAAAGCGTTTATACCTTATGCTTTAACAGTTTATAACTTATAACTATGAATATAAGTTGATTTCTGACTTATAAATTAAGCATCTCCTGCCTCACTCAAAGAATAAGCTGATTTCTGACTCACAAAAAGTTATAAATTGCATTGTTAAGCTAAACCAAACACATCAAAATAGCTTAAATTAAGCTGAAAGCTGAAATAAGTAACTTTTAAACTGTACCAAACAGGCACAATATCAAAATATTTGTTTTATTTTATTTTATTTTGAAGTGGTTTCTAAAAATTTATGTGCAGAATTTCACCCAAAAGATAGGACACAAATTCAACTCACACACTTAAAAATGAATTTACTTGGTCTCTCCCAAGGTAAAGATTTCCACCACCCTATAATTACATAAAAATGCTACGAGTAATGAAAATTACTCTCAAATCTAACCTGAAAATGATTGTGAGGTATAAATTTAAAGTTAGTAGAAAGTAGGTCTTATTCATAATAAATGTAGTCTATTAATTACTTTTCTAAGTAGTTTTTTTAAAGGAAAAAAGTTTGAATAATATCAGGGATCATGAAATGTATCATAAAATTTTTTCATATTTTGATTAATGTGTGATATTTTATTGTATGTGTAATCTAAATATAAAAAAAAAAATTATGATCATTTTCATGATATTTTTTTCATGATTCCTAACATTACTCCAAAAGTTTTCCTCCCACTCAAAATGTACCAGTCCCTATATCTTGGCACATTAAAGATCGGCTAGGAGATTACACAATTCAAGGAAACTTGTATTTTGAATCCTAGTTATGTTTGGTAACTTATTTATCTTTTTTGGAATTAATTTATCTACAAATATAAAATTCAATAGTGACAATTTTTAGCTGACTTGTGAGTTGATTTTTATTTATTTATTTACTGTACGATCAAATTGTTCCACAATTGTATTGTACAATTAGTACCGGTTGAAAATTTAAATACATCAAACAACATTGTGTGCAGTAGAATTTTGTTAACAAAAATAAGTATGCTTGGTTTTGTTTTTGAAAAATAATTTAAAGTTTTTTTATTCCTTTTTTTTATTTTGTCTTCAGTAACCTTTTCATATTTTAGTTAAATTTTTAAATTTTGTAGATGCGATGCACTTTAAAATATTTGTGAAGAAATCTAGAAAAAAAAGTTACACAAAACAAATAAAAAAATAAAAACAAAAAATGGCACATTTTAGTTTTTTTTTTTTTTTTTCTATGACATTTTCACAGATATTAATTGTGTAACAAAATTGTGGAAAATTTGATTGTAAAAAAGAAAGAAAAAAATTCAGGTGATGGGTCATGCAAAATTCGCCAAAATTAACTTTTATATTTTTAGAGAATGATGTTTCAATAGTCTCCCTACCAAAATAATCTCCATCAACTAGAGAAAGTTCTTCAAATGTCTAATCCTCCAATAAACCTTGTCAAGACGAATCAGGTAAAGACATCTTTTATACGGTTAATATTCCTACAAAAGTACGAACACAACCATTTTCATTAGATTGGAATTCATAATTTATTGTTGATTTTTCAATATTTAATCATATTTATATTTTTCTCAAAGTTTCAAGTTATATCGAACAAAATTTAGATAACTTAAATTTTTTGTGTTATAATCTATTTTGTTTATTGATAAAAAAATCCAACGAAGAAAATGATCGGAATCATCACGCAATTGCTACCTACAAGACAAAACACCCCCAGCCGTTGAATGGCCGAGGGCCCTCCGACATTCAAGTCAGTCCTTCAATATTATCAAAATATTTAATGAACTAATTCATATAGAGAAATTGTATACCTCAACCCACGAGGGTGTTACCTATTTATAATATCCAGTGACTTACTGTAACAACCCTCACCACTGTTTACCGTTAAACTACCGATTACTGCTAAACTGAGACTGATTATGAAAAGTAATTGAACTGATTGAAATACTGAACTGACCGACTGAAATCTGAAACTGATTGATTGACTGTATCCGTTTAAATGCACTATCTATCTGTTTGACTGTCCGATTATCTGTTCATGTTTTTATGGTTAAATTGCAAATTGAAGGCCTTATCGGCGGCCGAACCTGAAATCGATTAGTGTTTTATGATCAATAGAATTTATGTGAATTTATGGTATATTTATCTGAAATGTGATTTGGTATGATTTAATTAGATTAAAATGAGCTTAATCCCACAAGTTGCATTATTTGCAACCTTGCCATTATAGTGGGCCACTATCAAAACCTTGGTTGGAGCCTTATCACACTTAGACAAAACATCTTCTTCAGCCATTTTGAGAGGCACAACCGACCGAGAGAGAGAGAGTGAGAGAATTGAATTCAAATTGGTGGCTTGCTTGAAATTGGAAGAATTGAAGAGAGGATTGCAAAATTGAGCTTATATTCTTGAGTTTAAAGATTTAAGGTTGGTGTTTCACCCTCTCATTTGTGTATTTGAGTTGATTCTTGCATGCTTCTTGAGCCTCTAGTGATTTGAGTCTAGAATTGGCTTAATGTTTCGTGCTCCCAGTACTTTGCACTGTTTTGAAGTCCGCTCGAGCGGAATAATTGACGCTCGAGCGGGACATTGTGTCTTATGCTCGAGCGAGTGTCGAGCGCCCAATCGAGCATGATTTTCACCTATCCAGCACTTTTGACTGATTTGCAGAACGCTCGAGCGGGTAAGTCTACGCTCGAGCGGAAACCTTTGTCTGCATGTCCGCTCAAGCGGAGTAACCTACGCTCAAGCGTGACCCCTGTTTTCTGAAAATTCTGAAAATGCTTTTAAAGTGCATCTTTGCATCCTCATCTCATCCTAGGCATTATTAGGCCTAGTTTAAGGCATCTTAATGAGGATATAGATGTAGAACCACACCGAGGCAAATTAGGGATTAAGTTATTATTTTCCCAACTGTGTAGCTTAGTGTGTGTTCAATCTGTAACTGTGTAGGGTTGGCGACTGGGGACGCGCTCTAGCTTTACTGTAGCCCAGAACTCTGTGACTAACAACTGTGTAAAGATATGTTCAAAAATGATTATCTTCTGAACAATTGAACTGTACTGTTTCTGAATTGATACTGTTAATAGAATGAATGTATGTCCTCTATTCTGAACTGTATTGTGGCATCCTTAGCAACTACTGTTACTAAATGTTATTGTTACAGAGATCTCTCTCGGTTCCCTTGTTGGAACCACTACTGTTTACTGATTGATGGCCATCATTGACTGTTCGGTCTTTCAAGACCTACTGTTTACTGTACTGTTATGCTAATGGATGTACCACATATGACTGTATTGACTGAACGACTGAAATACTGATTTAATGAATTGTTTTCATTACTATAAGGACATTTATTCTTAACCTCTTTACGCATTACGTTATTCACTGGGCTTTAGCTCACTGCTCATATATATATGTAGGTGTACAGGCACCAGATCGCGACTAGAAGCGTCGGGGTTAAGCTCTAGTTTTGTCAAGCCAACCTATGTGCCTCACTGCGAGGTTCCGAGCCTGTCAAGCTAAGGCTATGGGGTGTTTTAGTTTTCCCCCTTCTGTTCTGTTTTGTAAACTGTAGACTATTACCATACTGTTTAATAGGGATTAGGTCCCTGAACTGATGATTGTATATATGTACATATTGTTTTGTCACTGACAGCATATATGAATGAAAAAGTCTTTTGCATACAGACTGTCACAGCTCATTGGACATTGTTTATTTACTGTATTGGCTTCCGCCAGGCCCCTGTACTCTGTTTTACTGTATTACTGTTAAGCAGGCCTTCGGTAATCTCAGATTACTGGCCGGTTACAGTGTTAAACCCAGAGGGGCGGGTTTGGGTCGTGACAGAGTGGTATCAGAGTGATACTTACCACGAGTTATACCGCACATACGTGTCCAGATGAGCTATAGGGTGTCCTAGAAAAGTAATAGGGCATTACATGAATATGATAAGTGTGTGGCTATGACATGACTGAATATATGCTAATGTGTTAATCTGTTTAACCAAATGACTGCCTATGTTGATAACTGTTATAACTGCCTATAGTGAAATGGATAATGCAAGAACTGCAAATGAATTTGAATCCTCATCTTCTAAGGCAAGAATGACAAGACTAGAAAGAATGATGGAACTAATAACTGAAAGACTAGATCAACAACAGAATCAACAGCCCCCACCTCTTCCTCCGGTACAGCTGGAACAGAATGTGAATGTTAATGACGGGGACATAATTGCTCTCACCCATAAGTTCAGCAAAATGAAATCGCCGTCCTTTCAGGGAGGCCTTGAACC